GTGGTGGTGGGGTGTTGGTGGTGGTGGTGTGGTTGTTTTCTTCCCGCCACCGTGCTTTGGCTTTGGGTCAGGTGGTGGTGGTGGGCTGTGGTGGTGGTGGTGGTTGTGGCGGTGGTGGTGGTGGTGTGGTGGTTGGTGGTGGTTTTGGTTGTTGTGGTGGTGTATATGGCGATTTGACTTGTGTTTCCCCTCTGCGGCCTTTGGGCCCTCTCTGGTCATCGTCGCTGCGTTCCCGCCGTCGGTGCTGCTGGCCGCCGCCAGCGCCGGTGCCGGCGCCGGCGCCGAGGGGGGCAGGGTTTTGGACCCCCCTCCCCCCCCCCCTGGGCCCTCTCTAGTCATCGTCGCTGCGTCTGCCGTCAGCGCTGCTGGCCGCCGCCAGCGCCGGCGCCGGCGCCAGGAGGGGGTGGGGCTTGAACGCCCCCCCTCCCTGGGAGGGGAGGGGGGAGGGGGGGTTGGGGGAGGAGAGGGGTTAGGGGGGAGGGGAGCCCCTCTGGTTGTGATCAGCGGCGCCGAGTGCTGGGGGTGCCCACCCCGCGTGTCGAAACGCGCCGCCGAATGTTCCCAAGGCAAGCGAAGGTTTGCCGCCTGCGCCTTTGAAGTAGCAAAGCGAGTGCACAGAGACGCGGCTGCAACCGCTGGCGGGCGCGGTTTCTCATCATGCAGGAATTTGGCCAGGCCGGGCCGAGCTCGCGCGCCATCTTTGCGGCCTCACTCCTTATTGTTGCGCGCGGGTGCCGAAGGTCCGACTGCGAACGGCCAGGTCCGCCGGTGGCCCCCAGAGCCCACGAAATTCTTGGCAGCTTCTCGCATCGCAGCCCCCCAGGCAGCCGCGAGGCTTCGGCTGTGCCCGCGTGAAATTCCGTTTTGCTAGACCTCCCAGGAGCCCACGACAGTGGCGACAGTGGCGTACTTCGCAGCCCCCCAGGGAGCCGCCAGGTCCCAGCTGGGTCCAGGCGTAACCCCACCCGCGCGGTATCCCAGGAACCCACGGCGTGGACGACATGTTCCACAGTTCGCAGCCCCCCAGGGGAACCGAAGGCGCCCTCGAGGGCGCGAAGTTATTCGCGCTTCGCGCTTCGCGGTTCGGCTCCGCTTCCTCCTCGTCCTCCTTTTCTCCCTTTTGGGGGGGCGGCGCGAGAGCGCGAAGTTATTCGCGCTTCGCGCAGCACGAAGCGCGAAGTTGGGAGCCCTTGGGAACCGCGAGGTCTCGGCCGGGTCCGCGTGAAACCCCACTCCGCTGGACCTCCCCGCGGCGCGCGCGAAGGGCGGCAGTGCTTTGCATGTCGCCCCCCCGCAGGGAGCCGCACCTCCCAGGACCCCACGAGCGCGTCGACGGTTTCGCACGTCGCAGCCCCCCCCCAGGGGACCGCTTGTTTCTTGGCCTCCTCCTCCTCCTCCTCCTCCTCTTCCTCCTCCTCCTCCTCCTCCTCCTCCTCCTCCTTTGGACCTGCCCAGCCGAGGGTTCTGGCTTGGCAGATGTTGGTCTTAATTTTCGCGTCGAATGAAGCGAGACATGAGAGCCAGCATGGCCACATGCCCACCGATTGCTGCCTCTTGCAGCTTGCATTGCAAGTCCCGGCTGGATCTGCGTGCGACGCCGCGCCCCTAGCCCACGAAAGCGGTGGCGGACGCGCAGTTCGCAGCCCCCCAAGGTCAGGAGGAAAACAAAAAACGCACAGACACAATTAATTGCCGATCCCCAGGAAAATGTGGGAACACATGGGAAGTGGGGGGGAGACAAAGACCCAGAAACTGTCGGAAAATATGGAGAATCCTGTTATTTGTGTGCATTTATTTGAGTGTGTCCCAGGGCACCTTCACAAGGAGCCGCGAGGTCTCGTCTGGGCTTGCGTGCAACCACTCCGCGCGACCTCCCAGGCGCCCACGAGAGGGGCGACGGGTTTAACGATTCGCAGCCCCCCAAGGAGCCGCGAGGTTTCGGCTGGATCTGCGCGCGGCTTCCCAGGAGCCCACGAAACAGGCAACGGTTGCGCAATTCGCCTCCCCCCCCCTTCCCAATGCAACGACTATTGCGTCAGACCAAGAAGGCGTCAACATTGGCGCAGCTCGCATCCCTGAGGGAACTGCGAAGTCTCGGGTGGATCTGCGCACAATTCTACTACGCGGGACCTCCCAGGAACCTGCGAAAATGGCGACGGTGGCGCAGTCCGCAGGCCCCTCCAGGGAACCGCGAGGTCTCGTAGGTGGCGACAGTTTTGCAATCTGCACCCCCCCAGGGCGCCGCGAGGTTTCGGTGGGATCAGCGTGCAATGTCATTCCGCGGGACCTCCGAGGAGCCCTGCGAACGTGGTTACAGTGGCGCAGTCCGCATCTCCCTTCAGGGATCCGCGATGTTCCGTCCTGGGTCTGCGCGCAAGTCCGCTGCCCGTGACCTCCCATGAGCCAGCGACGAAGGCCACGGTCTTTGGGTTGCTCCAGGGCCGTCTTGGAAGCCATTTTGGGCGTCTTGGAGGCCTCTTGGGCCGTCATTGGGCCCTCATGGTGCTGTCTTGGGGGCCTCTTGGGCCGTCTTTGGGGACATCCTGGAGGCCTCTTGGGCGATCTTGGGGCGATCTTGGAGGCCTCCCGGGCCGTCTCGGGCCGTCGGTAGGCCGAAAAGAAGCAACTGCCAACATCTTTCAATAACCAAAGAGCAATGCATGATTTGGGCCTATTCGGGCCTTCCTGGAGGCCCTCTGGGAGGCCTATTGGGCTGTCTTGGGTCCATCTTCGGCCGTCTTGGTGGGCTCCTGGGCCGTCTGACGCCGTCGGTAGCCGTTTGGGGGCCTCTCTGGGCCGACTTGGGGTCCTCTTAGAGTGCTCCAGAGCCGTCTTGGAGGCTTTCTTGGGCGTCTTGGAGGCCTCTTGGGCCGTCTTTGGGCCCCCTTGCAGGCTCTTTGGGCCGTTCTGGGGCCATCTTGAAGGCCTCTCGGGCGATCTTGGGGCGATCTTGGGGGCCTCTCGGGCCGTCTCGGGCCGTCGGTAGGCCGAAAGGAAGCAACTGCCAACATCTTTCAATAACCAAAGATCAATGCATGATTTGGGCCTATTCGGGCATTCCTGCAGGCCCTCTTGGAGGCCTCGTGGGACATCTGAGAGCCATCTTGGGCCATCTTGGTGGGCTCCTGGCCCGTCTGACGCCATCGGAAGCCGTTTTGGGGGCCTCTCTGGGCCGACTTGGGGTCCTCTTAGAGTGCTCCAGAGCCGTCTTGGAGGCCATCTTGGGCGTCTTGGAGGCCTCTTGGGCCGTCTTTGGGCCCTCTTGGGGCCGCCTCTTGGGCGCTCTGGGGGCGATCTTGGGGGCCTCTTGGGCCGTCTGGGTCCGACGGACCACCGAAAAGGAGCAAGTACGAAAATCGTTCAAAACCTGTTTGGACAAATCAATAAGTTTGGCTTCTTCGGGCGAGGCCTCGTGGGCCGTCTTGGAAGCCTCTCGAAGGCCTCTTGGGCCGTCTTGGGCCATCTTGGACCCTCCTGGGCCGTCTTGGAGGCCGTCTTGGACTATCTTTGGCGAACTTGGAAGCCATCTTGCGGACCTCTTGGAGGCCATCTTGAGCCGTCTTGGAGGATTTTTCTGGACGTTGAGGTCGTTTGCGCGCCTTCCTTGTGACAGGCGCCCAAACCGAACAGATCCAGCACGCCAGGCACCCTTGTGGCGAGACCAGGGGGCGGCGGATCTAGTGGCCTTCGGCCCATACTGCCACCGTGCCTGGGTTGTGGGTCAAAGTTCTCATGGACGCTTCTTGGGGTCTCTTCGGAGGGCTATCGGTGGCCTCTGGGGGGCAGTTTTGGCGTCTCTTGGGAGCTGTTGGGGGGCCTCTTGGGGGTCTCATGGGACCTCCTGGGGGCCTCTTGGGGCCTCCTGGGGGCCTCCTGGGGCGGAGAGCTCGAACTGTCGGCTCGTGCTCCCTCTCGGAGATCAATCCTGAGGCGTTCTTTTGGCCGCTTTGGGGGCCTCTTGGACCGTCTCGGCACCTTCTGGGGGCCTCTGGTGCCGTCTTGGGGCGATGTTGGGGGCCTCTTTCGCAGTCTTGGAGCGTCAGGAACTCGAAGAGGCAGAACCGCCGGAATCCTTCAAACACCTATGGGAAATCATAGATGTTTGCCTCTTGGGGCCCTCTTGGGAGTGCTCTGGGAAGCCTCTTCGGGCGTCTTGGAGGCCTCTTCGGCCGTCTGGAGGCCATCTTGGGCGTCCTGGAGCGATCTTTCGGCGAGTCGGAGCCCTGTTGGATACATTGGAGGGTTCGGGAGGTCGTTTTGCGCGGGCACGGCGTCAAGAGGACTGGCAGGAAATATCCCAGAAGTCACGTGAAACACCCCGGGAGACCCCGGAAAAAGGCCAAGGTCGAGGGTCGGGGCTTTTTATACGGCATTACAATCTTGGCTGCAGCAGCAGCAGCAGCTGGAGGGTCTCTCCGAAAGGCTTTTGCGACCCGTCCTCCTCCTCCTCCTCCTCCTCCTCCTCCTCCGCCTCCGACTCCTCCGCCTCCTCCGCCTCCTCCTCCGCCTCCGCCTCCTCCTCCTCCTCCTCCTCCTCCTCCTCCTCCTCCTCCTCCTCCTCCTCCTCCTCCTCCTCCTCCTCGGGTCGCCTACGGCCCGGGGGGAAACGTGAGCCTTGGGGCAACCCCGTTACTGCCAGAGGCACGGAGGCGGATTTCGGGAACAGAAAAGACGCCCTCGCCAGCGGGCCTCCGCTGGCGAGGGGTCCACCTCGCCTCCCCGAGCGGGATGGAGATTCGGGGTGTGTCTAAGTGGGGCAGCGCGAGCGAGGGACGAAGGACCACCGGGAGGACTCCGCTCGGCTCTTGCTCCCTGGGGGCGGTGGCGGGGCCGCTCTTGCTCTGGACTGCTTCGGTGTGCTCTGCTCCCGCTGCAGCGCTGCCCTCCCCCCTCTCCCCTGCTGCGAGGTGCTCTCCATCGTCGGCCTCACGCTGCTTGCCGCCGTGTGGCTCGCCATACTCCCGGGCATGCCCGACTTTCCGAGGACGCCCCCCGCCGCCTCCGCCCTGCGGGCCCGCGCCCTGGGGCCGGGAGGAGCGGGGCACGCCCGTCCGCGAGCGCCCAGGCATGCGCCGTCGCCCTGTGCACGAGCGCCTAGGTTGCAGGCTCTGCCAGGCCCGTCGACACTCGGGAGCGAAAGCAGGACGTCCACGTACATGAAGCCGCGCTGGTTTCGAAAGAGGAGCGGGGCATCGCCGTTCACGAGCGCCCAGGCACGTGCCGTCGGCCTGTGCACGAGCGCCTGGGTTTAAGTCGGGCCTGTCCCTCTACAGGGGGAATATTCAAACATAGTCAAAAAATAGCTTGGGGACTATGTTTTGAGCATTTGTTGACCATTTTGGAGTCTTCCAAAATCCCCCTGTAGGGGGACACGCCCGACTTAAGCCTAGGTCCTAGGTTGCAGGCTCTGCCAGGCCCGTCGACACCGCGCGCCTTGCCGCCTTGCCAGGCGCCTGGCGCCAGGGGATCAGATGCAGCTGCCTCCTCCCGGGGCCCGGGAACACCAGGACACTGCAGGCCAGGAAGGTTCGAGGCCGCCCAAAGGGGCCCGTTGCGCCGCATCTCCGATGCATTGGCGATGCGGCTCCATGGGTCACGGTACAGTCAATGCTCTGAAGCCCGGACCTTTTTTTCGGCTCAGGAGAGGCTCTGGTTTCCGGGACTTTCCTTACATCTACGTCGTGGAATTCGATCGTGACCGTAATTTTGCGCTCCCGATTCAGCGCTGCTCATGTTGGCACGATGACTGCAGACTGGGAGGAGTAGGGGGATTCAGAAAATTGTTGCGCGCAGCTGATTTCGGCATCGCCGCTGGGCGCTTTCATCCATACACAGGCGCCGCAGGCGCCGCTGGACCAGCTACATGAGCTGATTCGCTACCCCCCTCTTATCTGCCCAGTCACTTTTCGTCCGAACCTGACACTTGCATCCCCCACCGCCCAGAAAAAGTCGACGCCCGTTCGACTTGAAGCGGAGTCGCGGGAGCGGAATTCGCTCGCTCCGACCATGCACTGAGCAGCGCAGGATGTTTGGGCAGGATTGTCGAACCGCTCGAGATTTGGCCTGAGAACTTCCAAACAGGGTCTACGCAAAGAGCGTCGTCGAGCCTCCTGGGAGGATGTGTCTGTGTCTCCCAGCCCTCTTGGTGCCGCTGTCGATGATAAAAGCTGGTGACGGCTGAGCTGGGAGACGGTGCAGGACCACCCCAGGATCGGACGACGGAAACTACACGCCGACACCAGTTTTGAATGGGCCAAGATTGGTGTGTATGCCGCCCTGGGCCCGAAATCGGTGTCGGTGCATACTTGTCGCTGTCTTACAATGAGCCCCGACGCTCCTGACGCCCTCGCCAGACTCAGTCTAGGGGGCCCGTATGTAGGCGTGGCCTCGCGCTCGCGATCTTTCTCTTTGTTCCCGGTCTTCCTGTGGTGTCTTTTTCCCAACCGTCCTGTGGTGTGGGGTCATCGTTTCGCGTTCTCCACCTCTCTTCCTCCCTCCTCCTCCCTCCTCCCATCCATGCCTCTGCCATCCGCCCGAGTCAACCATTTCGGCACACCGCTTACACGGTTCGTGGCCCGTAGGGAGTTCCACCGAAGACTCCAATGGCGGTGTTCGCATGCGTTTCCCCAACCCAGCAGAGCGTTTCGTGGCCCTATAAGGAGCTCCACGGAAGGCCCAAATGCCAGCGCCCGCATGCTCCCACCGCACCCTTTTTGGCATACCCCTCACACGCTTCGTGGCCCCGTAGGGAGCTCCACCGAAGGCCCACATGCCAGCGCTCGCAATCGCTCACCGCACCCATGTCGTTACACCCATCCCACGTTTCATGGCCCCATATGGAGGCCCACCGCAGGCCCAAATGGCAGCGCTCGCATGCACCCACCGCGCCCATTTTGGCACACCCATCGCGCGCTTCGTGGGAGCTCTACCGGAGGTCCAAATGCCAGCGCTCGAATGCTCCTACCGCGCCCATTTTGGCACACCCCTCACAGTTTTTGTGGGCCCATAGGGAGCTCCACCGAAGGCCCAAATGCAAGCGCTCGCATGCGCCCACCGCACCCATTTTGGCACACCACTCACACGCTTTGTGGCCGCATAGGGAGCCCCACTGAAGGCCCAACTGCCAGCGTGCGCACGCGCCCACCGCACCCATTGTGGCGCACACACACACACACACGACATTTTTCGTGGCCACATAAGGAGCTCCACCGAAGGCCCGGATGCCAGTGCTCGCATGCGCCCACCGCACCTGTTTGGCTCACCCCTCGCACGTTTCGTGGCCCCATAGGGAGCTCCACCGTGTGTGGTGCACACAACGACGATACCCACAAACGCATATGGATGGGTCCTTCGCCATGCTAATTGAAGAGATAGCGCCCCGCGTTCTCCCCCGTCTCCTCCTCCTCCTCCCGCTGCCCCCTCCCCCTCCTCCCACCTCTCATCCCTGCCTCTGCCCTCCACATGTTTATGTTTCGGCACACCCAGTGCAGCGCGTCGTGGCCCCATAAGGAGCTCCACCCAAGGCCCAAGCGTCAGGGTCTACATGGCGGCGCCGCCCCATTTTGGCGCACCGCTCACAATTTTCGTAGCCCCATAGGGAGCTCCACCAAAGGCCCTGGTAGCAGGGTCCACATGTCGCCGCCGCTCCATTTTGGCGCACCCTCACACGGATCGTGGCCCCATACGGTGGTCCACCGAAGGCCCCAGTGACAGGGTCTACGTGGCGGCGCCGCCCCATTTTGGCGCACCCTTTACAATATTCGTAGCCCCTTAGGAGCTCCCCATTTTTGGTGCACCCCTCACGCGGTTTGTAGCTCCATAGGGAGCTCCGCCAGAGGCCCCAGTGCCATACACCACATAGCGGTACCACCATATTTGGGCGCACCCCTCACACGGTTCGTAGCCCCATAGGGAGTTCCACCGACGGCTTCAGTAGCAGCTTGGCGCACCCATCACACGGTTCGTGGCTTCGTGGGGAGCTCCACCGCAGGCCCCATCGGCAGGGTCCACATGGCGGCGCCGCCCCAATTTGGAAGATGTCTCGCATGGTTCGTAGCCCCACAGCAAGATCCACCGAAGGCCCGGTAGCAAGGTCCATATGGCGGCGCCGCCCCATTTTGGCGCACCGCTCGCACGGGTCGTAGCCCCACAGTAAGATCCACCGAAGGCCCCAGTGACAGGGCCCGCATGGCGGCGCCGCCCCGTTTTAGCGCACCCCTCACACGGATCGTAGCCCCATAGGGAGCTCAGCCGAAACCCCCAGTGACAGAGTCCACATGGCGGCGCCGCCCCGTTTTGGGGCACCTTTCACACAGTTCGTAGCCCCATGGGAGTTCCACCGAAGTCCCCAGTAGCAGGGTCCATATGGCGGCGCCGCTCCATTTTGGCACACTCTTCACACGGTTCGTAGCTCCATAGGGAGCTCCACCGAATGCCCCAGTGACAGGGGTCACGCCCCATAGGGAGTTCCATTCAAGGCCCCAGTGACAGGGTCCATATGGCGGCGCCGCCCCAGTTTAGCGCACCCCTCACACGGTTCGCGGCCCCATATGGTGCTCAGCCGAATGCCCCAGTAGCAGGGTCCACATGGCGGCGTCGCTCCGTTTCGTTCACACGGGTCGTAGCCCCATAAGGAACTCCACCGAAGGCCCCAGTGGCGAGGTTCGATTGACGGTGCCGCCCTACTTTGGCGCACCCCTCACACGGTTCGTGGGCCCAATGGGAGTTCCATCGGAATCGGTGCCACATTACGGTTTTCACATTTGCATTTGGTTGGGTCGTTCTTTATGATGATTTAAGTGTTTTTATTCGCTCTATCCCTCTCCCCCGCTTCCCCCTCTCTCCCTTTTTTTGTGTCTCTCTCTCTCTCTCTCTTTCTGAGCGTGCTTCTTCATTGCTCGGACCATAACGCGCGTTATGGCCCCTCCGCCCCCTCGCCTAGAACTTAACGCTCCAGCCCCCAGTGCGCCCCCGGCACTGCCGCCGCGTGCATATTGATCCGCATCGGAACCCGAACAGGAATCCGCAGAGGCATCCGCACAGAAATCCGCATAAGGGGTCCGCATGGGGATCGCATACAGATATCTATCGGAACCGCATAGGGATCCGCATTGGGATCCCCAGGGATCCTTGCAGAGACATCCGCATAAGGATCTGGATACGGATCCGCATAGGGATCCGCACAGGCATCCGCATAGGGATCCGCATAGGGATGCGCATCGGGATACCCAGAGGGGTCTTCATAGGGATCCGCGCAGAGATTCGCATAGGTGAGGTGGTCGCGGGCAAGTTGCGGATGTCTCAGGCACTTGTGGTGATCGTAGGAGAGAGAGAGAGAGAGAGAGAGAGGGAGAGGGAGAGATAGAGAGAGCAATAGGAGGAGAAGGACGACGACGACAACGACAAAAACGACGACGGTGACGACAACGACGACGACGACGACGCCGACGACGACGGAGGACGACGACGACAAGGTGGGAGGAGAGAGGTAAGGGGCCTACCTCTTATACGCCACATGGAGGCAACGACGCCTTCGCAGGCATGTGCTCGCCACAACTCCTCGTCGCTCGTCGTTGTCGATCGTCGTTGTCGTCGCTCGTCGTCGTCGTCGTCGCTCTTGGTTGCCCGTCGTCGTCGTCATCGTCGCTCGTCGTCGTCGTGGTCGGCGTCGTCGTCTTCGTCGTCGTCGACGTCGGTCGTCACCGCTCGCGGTCACTCGTCGTTGTCAAACGCCTTCGAATGCTTTCGAGGGCCTTTGGAGGCCTTCGGATGACCTGCAGAAGGCCTCTGGATGCTTCCAGAGGCCTCTGGAGGCCTCGGGAAGCCTCCCGAGACCTCCGGAGGCGTCGCTTGTCGGTCGTCGTCGTCGTCTTCGTCGTCGTCGCCGTCGTCGTCGTCGTCGCTCGTCGTCGTCGTCGCTCGTCGCTCGTCGCTCGTCGTCGTCGTCGTCGCTCGTCGTACCCTCCCCCCGGCCCCCACGGGGGAGGACGTTTCGTCATACCCCCTGCCCCCCCCCCCACAACGCCCGTTACCGCCCCGAATAACCAAACACGCTCTCTCTTTTTGTTGTTCTCTCTCCCTCTCTCTCTCTCTCTGACCACAGGTCTCTCTCGCGGTGGCGCCAGACTGATCGCGCCGCACGGTTCTGGGCCACAGAGGAGTTGGGAGCGGGGGGGCGGCGGAGGAGGACGAGAACGAGGAAGGCTGAGGGAGGACGGTTGGAGGAGCACGGAAGGAGGAGGATTGAGTGAGGAGGAGGATCGAGGGAGGACGGGGGCAGGAGAACGGAGGGATGAGGATTGAGTGAGGAGGAGGATGTAGGGAGAATGGGGGGAGGATGCGAGGACGAGAGTGGCGGAGGGTGAGGAGGAGGAGTGTGGAGGAGGAGTGTGGAGGACGATCGATGGAGGAAAATCGAGGGAGGATGGAGGATGGAGGATGGAGGAGGATGGGGGAGGAGGCGGTGGTGGTGGTGGTGGTGGAGGCAAACGCTGGTGACCCCTGGGGAAGATTCGAGCTACTGTGCAATCGGAGCCGTCGGCACTGCCGCCCGTGGGAGCCGCTCCAGCCTGCGCGGGACGCAGCCCCACTCCAGCAGGGGCTGCCCTGCACAGCTGTCGGACTCCCGCACGGTGCAAGCACTGCTTAGGGCCAGGCCTCTCGCTCGAACCCCAAACGCAAGCACCGATCGGGGGAACATGTCAGGGGTGGGCCTCGAGCTAACCTCAGGAGGGAAAGAAACACACAGACACAATTACTCGGCGATGTCCCATACATTATGGTAAAATATGGGAAGTGGGGGGAAAACACACACCCAGAAAATACATGAACATATAGGGCATATTTTTATTTGTGTGTAGTTGTTTGTGTGTCCCAGGGCCCCTTCATAACCTCTCTTGGGCCACGCTCGAGCACATCGCACTGCCACATGCTTCTGAAAGCGGAGGGAGGGGAGGTGAGGCACGGAGCAAGTTGCGTGCAGCTACCAGCACGAAAACCTCTCGCGCCAACTTCGAACACGTCAATTGATGCCCATGTCTGCACTGGTCTGCGACATTTGTTCGCTGGTAGGGGGCCACATGCGAACCCTGCCCCTACCCCCTCCCAAGATTTCTGAGGGGGAGGGTGGGGTTCACTTCGTTCGGGAGCTCCCGAGCAAAGTGAACTCCACCCTTCCCCTCAGAAATCTGGGGGGGGGGTAGGGGTAGGGTTCGCATGTGGCCCCCTAGCTGGTGCTCCGCATTCATCGCGAAGCCTACGGAACGAAGACCAGCCCTGTCAGAAATGTCATCCGACACTGCTGCCTGGCTCGGATGCGCTGTCGCTGCCGTCGCAATCGTACATCTCGTTGAACGCATCTGTTGGCGAGATGCCCCTGGTGCTCATTTGATCGTGCGCTATGCACTGCTGACGCTGGATTGAAATCTGCAAGTTGTTCTCGTTGCTCTGATGCTCGTCTGCGCAACTCATCGTTTCGTCGTCCGTGCACTCCTGGTACGTGTCTGTGCTCTGTTGTAAGCCTTCCGTGCTCAGCTGGCGGTGGTTGAGCAGACGTCTTCGATGCAGGAAATTCGTTCCCCTCGTATGCCCACCAGAGATGCCGAGCAGGCGGGTGCCCGTCGCGTTGACCCAGTTCTTGAAGTCAGCAACGCCACGCTCGTAATCCTCCAATAAGTTCTGCAAGTGGTTCCCGAAATCGCCCGCGATGTGTTGCAGGATATCCACGTTGCTCATCTCGTCTATGTCTTCCCCCTGGGGTCTCTCGGTGCACAGCTGCTTGATCGTGTGGCTCCGTTGGCAGTCTGCCGTGCGCTACTTGTTGCCCTCGATGGTCTGCTGCTGGCCAGCTACATTCTCCCTGTCGTCGTACAGTTCCCCATGTCTGCCGGCGGCGCCCCGCTGGTCGACCTCGGTGCTTTTCTGGCTGTCGGCGGTGCTCCTCCTGTCGACGTCTATGCGCCCCTGGCCGATGGCTGAGCTCGGCTGGTGGTCGGGGATGCCCTGCTGGTGGTCCTCAGCGCTCGCCTCGTAGACATCTCATCGCTCCTGGCTGTAAGAGGTGCTCTGCGGGTGGCCTCCGATACTCTGCTGGCGTTCAGGGATGCTCGCCTCATGGTCGTCGATCCGCTTCTGGCTGGCGACGTCCCCGGTGAACTGCGCGTGGCCCGTGCCCCCTCTGGTGGCTCTTCGTGCTCTCGTCAGCCAGCTCGTCCAGTCCGGGAGGTGCTCGTGACCCAGCCGCGACGCCCGAGCAGAAGGCTCGGCACCTTGCCCTGCGCCTCGCGCGCCACGCTCGCGATCGGCAGTCGCTGCGCCCCATGGGGAGCGGTACTGCGGACAGCCTCCATGCATGCAGTGCGTGCCCCCTGCAGCGAGGACGTATGTGGAGTACAGCATGTTCAATTGCCTAGAGATGAGAGTAGCAATCTTAAGAGCTGGCCGCTCGCACGCGTTCCGCTTCTGAAATGGCGGCTATAGAGGAGGAGGAGGAGGAGGAGGAGGAGGAGGAGGAGAAGTAGGAGGAGGAGAGGAGGAGGAGGAGGAGGAGGAGGAGGAGGAGGAGGAGGAGGAGGAGATAGTTGTGTCCCGGAGGGCCTGCCTGTCGACAGCATTGGCAGCCGAGTTTCAGCATGGCTTGGCGCTCCTCCGCCTCGCCCTGCCCCTCCTGCTCCCCCTTCCCCTCCTCATTCCTCCTCCTCATCCCTCCTCCTCATCGTCCTCCTCCTCCTTCTTATCCCACTCCTGTCTGTATCATCTTCCTTGTCCTCCCCTCTCCCCCTCCCTCCCACTCTCCTCCTTCTCTATCTTTTGTCCTTCAAACTCCCTGTCGCACCCCAAACGTGTTGGTAGGGCGGGCCAGACGTTTCGACTGATATTTCCTCACCATACAAGATCTTGAAGTTTGAAATGGGTAACACTTTCGAGGACGTATTGCGGTTGTTGTTAAACATGCGCCGCGCTCATTCGCCTCAACATATTGTAACAATGTCATAAAGGATGGCGGGCCGTTTTTATGTGACTATCGGCCTAGCGCCGCGCACGTTCATCTTGAAAGTTGGCAGCAGTTTCATTGAGTAATGAAGGTTCAGTTTCATTCTGTGTTTTTCGCTTTAGCTCCTCGAGCGTTCGTCCTAAACATGTGCAACAGCGTACAGGATGAAGGGCGGTTCCTTTTCAAAGTGAGAGTGTCGCCTTAGCGGCGCACGCATTTTTTTTAGGTTTGCAGTAGTTTGAAATATTGAAGCCAGTTCCTTTGCAAAATGTGGCTCTCGCTCTAGCGCCGCGCATTTTCCTCTCGAGCGTTTGCAACATTGTCGAGAATTCGTAGGGTTGAAAGCCTAGGAACAGTGTTCTGGCATGAGTTAGGATTGTCAGTACGCAACAGTTGCGTTGTTTCGCGGTGTTGAAGCCCCGGTGATGGTATTCTGGCGCGGTTTAGGACTGTCAAGTCACAGCAGTCCCGTTGATTCGCGACAATGCAGTCCCATGAATTGTGTTTTGGTACGGTTTGTGATTCTCAGATGGTTGTCTTTCAATGGGAAATTCCCCGCAATGCGTATGAATTCTTGTTGGACCTATGAAGAGGGAACTTGGAGGGAGGGTGTATTGCAACATCGTTGTCCTTGGTTTAGACTGGTCCTCCTCCTCCTTCCTCTCCTCATCGGGGAGGGGGCTGATTTGTCCACACTCAGTGGCTGCCGAGGCCCCAAGGAGATCGATCCCCCAGGCGGTGGCTACGGATAAGCCCCGCCTGGTCACCAGTTTCCACTCGTCTCCTGCGCCCCGCGGGCCGCAGCCAGCTGCCAGTCGCCACGAGCTCGGTGCAAAACGTCATCGGCACGACGCTCTTCAACTTTGCGTTCGTCGGCGCCCCTCCCGCGCTCTTTTGCTGCCTCTTCCCAGCGACCGGCGATCCGACCACCCCCGCTCTCGGAAGAGAGGATGAGGAGGCAGGGGCAGATAAGGAGGAGGAGGAGGAGGAGGAAGAGGAGGAGGAGGAGGAGGAGGAGGAGGAAGGGTGGTGGATGCGGCGGAAATCCCCCTCCTCATCAATCCCTGCAAGCCTTCACGATCACTACAAGGAGCGCCCCCTTGAAAGACTCGAGTTCACGTAAGAGTTACCCTTCGCCGGAGTGACCTTTGTCGCGGGCCCATTGGGTTCCCCCGATCGCCGAACGCGATGCGACAGTAGCGTCTTGCGCGCTCGTGTTTGTTCCCCCGCGGCCCCCAAAAAGCCGCGCACCAAAGGCCACTCTTTACCCAGGCTAAATCCTGCATGTAGCCGAAAGACCAGCACCGCAAGGGCCTGTCACCCGGGCGGCAGCCCCGTCTCGAGAAGGCATGGCCACATCCAGCTCAACAGTGGTGTCCAGCGAGATATCTCCGCTCTGAGACAGGCCCGCCCAACGTTCCGTGTAGATGTTGCACACCTTTGACCCTGACATCTCTCGGGCGTGTGCATTTTTTCCTCGTCGAGAGCCATCGCGGAGCATCCTGGACCAGCGAGCAACAAAGACACGCACGAGGTCGAAAAAGGCACGCTGAATGGACGCCCGAGCGATGGCCAGAGGTGACAGGCCTGGTCATAAATACCAGGGCAGTCTACAGCAATAGCCCCGTTTTTGAACATCAGTCGTCGTCCACCCGCGCGGCTGGCACACGTTCTCGCCGTCTGGTCTCACATGCAGGGAGATCTGAAGCGAGAGCCCGATTTTGACAGGGAGCCGCTATCCACCCCTGTGACTGCCTCAAGCTTGTAAGATCACTGTGCGCGGTGCCAAGTCGGGAGCCCCATTTTGAAAACGACGTGCCCTCCAGCCTTGTGCCTGCTCCGATTTCTTTAGACGGATGTGCGCTTCTCCAGGGCGTTAGTTCCATATTGAAAACGACCTGCCCTGCATCCTTCCAGTCGTTGCGAATCTTAAGACGAATGTTCCCAGCGCTGGGGTCGATATTGAAAACGACGGGCCCTTCATCCTTGTTGCCCCAAGTGATCAGCACACATTTGCGCGGTGCCGAGAGCTTCATTTCGGAGGCGTCCCTCCTCCGTCCATGTAACTGTTACAAGCTTTTGAGACGAATGCGCGAGGCGCCAAGGCGAGAGCTCCATTCTGAAAACCACAGCCCCTCCATCCTTCAAGCCGCTGCATGCTTTTCACACGAATGCGCGCGGCGCTGCGGCAATAACTCCATGTTGCAAACAACACACCTCCCATCCTAAAAGCTGGTGCTCATTGCCAGCTTCAGGAAAACAAGTGTTGAGCAGGTCTCAAGCGGAGCGCCCGGATCGCCCGGCCCGCCCTGACGAGTCATTTGGTGCTGCGACAGGGAGGAGTTGTTTGCAGGAACAAGGATGGGGGAGGAGGAGGCGGATGGGGTGGCAGAGGCGTGCAGTCGGCGAAGGTGGGGGGTGGGGGGAGGAGAGGAAGGGACGGACGGAGTGCCCTGGCGGGGAGAGCGCCCAGCACCACACATCTGGCACAACCGCTGGAGTTCTTAGCCTCGACTGGAGGCTTCTCTGAGACGTGGTCTCTCCACTGGAGCCGCCACTCGCTGCTCACAGGAGTGTGCCGCCCCTGTGGCCGAACAGGATCTACGCACCACCGCAGGGTCAGAGACGCTGCTGCAGCATCCGCACTCGGAGGGGTTTCATCCAACCCGCGTCGACGAGGGGCGAGTCCAGTAAGGGGGCACAGTCTGGTCGAGAACCGCCTGGCACGTGCGATGGGTCGGTTCACCCAGACGCAAACGATCCCAGATTGCCCCGCCGTTCTTGGCGGGGGGGCCGCCGGGGGGCTGTCGAGAGCTGCCTGCCTGCCCCAGAGCCAGGTTCCGCACTTGAAGCAGACGTAGCTTTGCTTCTGAGGGATCGTGCCAGCCACACCCTCACGAGCAGAGTTCTGAGCCGCGCCAGCCGTAAGGGCGAGATGTCACATGGGCTCCCAGTGAAGCTGTCCGGCAAAACTCGGGGCCCCACGGCAGCCTTGCATATCCGTTTCAGACCGATCGTTCCCGCCTAGTTGCAGGCACTGCATGCATTGAAATCCAGTGGGTCGATCCTCCCACCGATACCAAGCAAGCTTCAATCTCGACCTGCTGCGGACGGGGGCGGGCTGGGCGCGGCCGCTCGAGCTCAGTTTTAAACACTGGCAGCACAGCGGCAGCAAGCTTGCAGAAATTCTTGGCTTTCTCCAGACGGACGACAAACACTCTGTGTCTGCACGTGCATGATGCTTCAAAGACTGCTTCGACTGGTGGTGGACAACAGCATCGCGACCGCAAACGTTCTCTCTCTCTCTCTCTGTCATTTTCTGCTGGAGGGCATCGATCGTCTCCTGAGATCCGTAGGCTTTGACACGCCTGACCTTCTGGATAAACTGTGCCTTCCAAGGAGTGAGCAAAAAGACGCAGGCCCGCAAACTTAGAGCTGGTATTAAGGCGGGTTTGTCCCTCTACAGGAGGAATGTTCAACAATAGTTTTAAAGTCGTAGATGGACGATTTTTTAGTATTTCTGAACATTTGTGGCGTATGTGTCGGCCATTTGTAATTCTTCGTCCCAAATCCCCCTGTAGGAGGACATGCCCGACTTACAGCTGGTAGCCAATTGCTGATGCGCACTGCGCTGGGTGACCTTTGTCGCCGATGTGCAGCCTGCCCCCCACCCGGAGGGGCGATTGGCCACTTGTCCACACAGTGCGATGCCAACATGCTAACAGTCAAGGGAGGAAAAACCACCCGGACCAGACAACTGGCGTTCACTAAACGGCTCTGGGCGTTTATTGAACAGCCTTGCCCTGTTCGATTCCTTCTTTGGGCGCGTCTACTGAACGACCTCGTGTGTCGGGTCGGTTATTATGGGGGTGGATTTCCTGACCTCTAAACATGCTCCGACAGCAGGCGGCTGGGGAACAAGCGCCGTGCACTACGCTATGCAGGACTGCGACAGGCGCTGGCTCCTGACGACTCGCGGCCGGCACCGCTGTTGCCCGGGACGCTCGTTGGAGCCCTCGCAGAGAGGGAGCAAGAACCGTCGGACACTAGCCCGAGAACTTGGTGCTCCCTTGGAAGGATCCGCTATTGTTTCAGGGCCCATACCGGGCGGGTCGCCTCTTTCGCCGAACCATTCAGCAACGGTAGACTTGGAAGGTTGAGACAGTTCGCTATTTTGATCAACACCAATGCCTCGAGTGGACATCTCTAGGTCTTGATCTTCCAGCGCTGCAGCAGGATACCCTGGTGTGACCTCAGCCTCCTGCCGGGCCTTGACCGCGTCATCCTTCGTGTACGTGTTAAGCCTGTGGTCGCGTGTGTTGACCCTTCTCCACTCGCGCAAACCGTCCGTCGCTCAACCCGCTAAATGCCCTCTCTCGTTGGTCCACATTTCGTTGCACCCACAGTGCAGTTGGAACCTATGCCAAGAAACACCCTGCTTGCCTCCAGGGTGCGGGTCTCTATGGTTTTGTTGTGGAGAGCGTGACGTTCCCACACCAAAAATCAATGGATGTCCTGGGATCTCAGGATTGGGTTTCTTGTGGATGGTTTCTTGTGGTCGAGCTCCTACTGTACACCCCTAGTTTCGGGCCCCAGTCGGTCCCTGATGAGACCCAAGGTGGCCCTGTGACCGGGGTGGGTCCTACTTTGGAAGCCAGGGCCAAGCTCGTGTGCACGCGGTATGCCCGGCAGTTATGCGGGGCATCTGATCTACCCGAAGTGTGACACCACTGTGGTCCCGCCACTTCAAAGGTCCTACAGCCTCCCACCCCGTTCTCAGGAGGAGGAGGAGGAGGAGGAGGAGGAGGAGGAGGAGGAGGAGGAGGAGGAGGAGGAGGAGGAGGGAGGAGAGGAGGAGGGAGGGAGGAGGAGGAGGGAGGAGGGAGGAGGAGGAGGAGGAGGAGGAGAGGAGGAGGAGGAGAGGAGGAGGAGAGAGGAGGAGGAGGAGGAGGAGGAGGAGGAGGAGGAGGAGGAGGAGGAGGAGGAGGAGGGAGAGGGGGGGGCCACGAGTGGAGTCCCACGGGCCTCCCTCCAGAGGCTGGACCGTGCCCCGGAGCCAGCGAAGCTCTCCTCTACCGGCTGGTGTTATCTCTGGTGTTAAGTCGGGCCTGTCCCCCTACAGGGGAATTTTCGACGGAAAATAAACAATACCCTCAAAAATAGTCCAAGACGGACACAAAATATTAAAAAAATAGTCTCCAGACTATTTTTGGACTATGTTTGGGGTATTTCTTATTTTTCGTCGAAAATCCCCCTGCAGGGGGACAGGCCCGACTTAATGCTATCTCTGGTGGAGGGTTGGCAAGCCAATTCATCCGGCAGCAGTGAACCGCTGGAGCGATCGCCAGTTTGAAGCTCCGATCTCCCAGCAAAACGAGCTCCGCCGAGAGTGAGACGCCCTCGTGAGAGAGGTGGCGGCAGCACTGCACACGGCCCCTTTTGATGAGTAGCGCTGTCTGGCTAAGACTCGGCGCGTCGACTGCAAACTAACAGGCAGGGGCCAACTCCAGCCCGGCAAACCTTTGAGACGGGGGGCTTGCTCCTGCCCTCGAACTGTGTATTACCCATCGGTCGTTGAAAGTAGTTTTTTTTGATTCCCAAAACCCCATCTACTTCAAGCGCCAATGTATATGCTTTTACTGCGTTTTGTTGCTCTCTGGCTGGGCCCAGACCCAATCTACTCTATCCGCCTTCCTACTTCATGTTTCTACCTACGTCTTCCGACCGATGGGTATAAGAGGCAACCTTCCTCACACGAAGCCTCATTCCTTCTAACCGTTTCCCGTGCTTTGCACGTGCTCTTTTGGCCAATCGCGCAGCACCTGCCGCCTCGTCGACTCCGGGGTACGAGACGAGACACTGAGCTTCATGACGGACCTGGGAACGCATAGGTTGCCGCAGACCTCGTTCGCTATCTTCTGAGACACACGGCCAGTTCAGACCGGCGGTCAGTTTCGCCGATGTGTGTTTGAACTCGTTCATCAGTGGCGGGATTGTTGATTGCGCTGTCGTCGATGTAGCTCAGGAAATCCATTGACGGGCACGTCATGATAATTCCTTCTGACTCAGTTATTGCATGAATTTTGACAGCGAGGTTACTGTACCCGCGTCCTGTTGATAGCACACACTGCGCATACAGCGCACTCATAGTGATGTCTTCTAAACCTGATGATTGTTGGTCCACACCGCGCGTCGAACTATGCTTGATCCATCATTTTTTCGCGCCGGCACGAATGAATTTCATCTTGAGCTCATGTAGCGGCGTGGACTCATAGTATCTGGACAAGTCCACCACCTATAGTACATGGTGACGATGAGCAGCTTCATCATATCCGACATGTTGACCCGGAGATACACGTATTTGCTCAGGGCACGGAACCAGAGGCACCGAGTGAAAGGAACGGTAATTCCCAGTGTGACCTGGTTCCTGCTCCCGCTCCAGTTCTGGCTCAAGATCTTGAAGGCTCCCTTTCTAGGGCCCCCCCCAGACGACCTTAGTGAGCTTGCTGACGTCGACGCCTCCTCGGGCCTACATAGAAGAAGAATAAGAAGAAAAAGAAACGCCATTCACATAAACTGTTGGCGCTGAGCGCGGATTTCCTGGATCTGGGCTGGACCCCCCCGTCCTGGTGCGCGGAGCGCGCCAGGGGCGGCGCTGGAGGCGCCACTGGGGGACCCACCGCGGCTCCAAGAAGCGCGGAGCGCCACAAGTTGATCTTGGTGGTGCTTTTTTCTGCTGCAGCCCACCCCTTCCTTCCTCCCCCCCTTCCTCAGAGCGTGAATTACCTACCCCGCTTTCGCTTCCAGGCAAAACCAAGCCATACCATGCGCCTCCTCGTCAAGCGGCCTGACCAGTACAGGCTGCAGTTTGGCATCGTTTGGTATCTCTTGGAAGCGAGGGTGGTCAAAAGCGAGGTAGGTTTGTTTTCCCCCTACTTCCCCCACTCCTCCCCCGCCGCCTCTCACCGCTGGGCTGCTCGAGCGCCCAGTTGCCAGCCGGAGGGGGGCCAGGCCTCGCAGCGAGGCCAGGCGCGCTGCGCCGTGGCGTGGCGCCCTCCATCTCTCCGTCGGCCCACTCACGGAGGCGCCCCTCCCATCCTATTTCTGTTGCTTGCGCTTCTGTTGCTTGCCGTCGCACGGCATCGCTTTTCGTTGCATGCTCCACTTGGCATCCTCGACGTCGCATTTTTCCTCGCAAGAAACCATCAGGACGTTTTTGTCCGCGCGCGAAAAATGGACGCACGAAACCGGCAGCACAGGGAATCAGGCGCGCGAACCGAAGCAGGGCAGTCAGAGCAGCAGAACCCAAGCCGGATCCTCTCTTCTTCCTCCTCCCTCCCACCCCCTCCTCCTCGCTCCTCCTCCTCCTCCTCCTCTCCTCCTCCTCCTCCTCCTCCTCCTCCTCCTCCTCCTCCTCCATCATCCCCCTCCCGTATCCTCTATCCATCCCTCGGCCGTCTTCCGTGCAGCCCGCAGCTGCCGATCCCACTGCCACTTCGCTTCCTCGCTCCCTCTCCCCTGTGCCAACCAGGGGGGGGGGGGCGGGAGGACGCCCCCCCACTTTGGACCCAGGAGGGTCTCTGGACCCCTCGCTCTCTCCCACGCTTGGGCGCGAATAAGTGGGGGGGGGCGCTCACGGGGGGGAAGGGAGGAAAACAGTGCGCCCCTCTGGCGCCCCAGAGGACCCTTCCAGGGGGCCCAAAGGGCCCCAAGGCGGCAGCCTTCGCTGCCCCTCCAGTTGTCGCCCCCCCCCCCCCCCCCGCGTCCTCCGATCTGCCTTCTCGCTTCTTCCTCCCTCCCCCGCCTCCCCCTGCCGGAGGCTCCCTGCCCTCCTGGGCCAACGAGAAGCGGCCGGAGGTCTCCGTGGACAGGCGCCCCCCCCCTCTCGGGAGAGCGGCGTGCACCGGGCTCGCCGCCGCGCCGCTGGCGATCGCTTGCCGAGGGGCAGCGCTAGGCCTCCCAGGTGGGGTCGGAGGATCGCGCCGCATCGCCGATGCATCGGCGACGCGGCTCGATGTGGAGCCCGACTTGCTTCATGTCGACGTCGCCGATGCATCGCCGACGTCGGCGATGCATCGCAGGTGCATCGCCGATGCACAGCCGATGCGGCGCGATCCTCCGACCCCATCTTCTCCGACCCCATCTAGGAGGCCTCGAGCATTGGCTGCCCACGCACGGATGTTGAGCAGTGGCGAGGCGTCTCGGCTTGCCTACAGGCCCACCAAATCATGTTCTAAGAACCAAATATGGTTTTCACAAAGTGTTCTGAGAACATGTCTGGCTGAGACAGTCTTGTTCTGACACGTCGGCTGCATGCTCTCAGACACATTGGCTTGTTTGTGGAGCATGCTCTGTTCTGCGAGCAGTTCTTTGATGGGCCCGTGGGAATGCCAGGACGGTCGGTCCTCGCTTCAGAGCGTCCTCTTGCCGGGGGTGGCCTTTGGCACGCGGCGCTCGGGCTTCGCAGGGGGGGCCCGCCGCCTAACGTGACCACGTCGAGCCAGGAAGAAATTACGACGGGGGGGTGCCGCCGTGTTCGGCCTGTGGGGTTCCTTTACTGGACTGCGGGACCGGGAACAAAACACACTCGGGACGGAAAGCCGGTCTCGGTGAATGGGTCGAGAGTTCTTGGGGCCGACGTTGTGAAGAAGTCATGGCGTCGAGCACAGCTCGCGGGTCGCCATGGCCAGTGCTGCTCACGGTCTGACTCGGTCGGGTCTAGTATCCGATCTTCGATCCCGACCTCGAAGCGACCAAATCCGAGACGATCCCATCCAGATCCGATGCTGCGCCGATGCGTAGGTCATGCGCAAAAGGGGGGTAGGGGAAGGGGGGGGCTTCTTAGAAGCACCCCTGCTCCTCATCAGGCGCGTGCCTTAACTGTACACGTGAGGCCAGCGCCCTCCGAGGAGTCTCCTTCCGAGAGACCTCTCCCCGCCGCCATACCCCCTTCTGAACGCGCCGCCAAACGCAGGAGCGATCCGATCCGTCAATTCGAGCCGCCGACGACGGCGACGACGACGACGACGACAACGACGACGACGACGACGACGACGACGGCGACGACGACGACGACGATCCGTCGGTCCGACACGGCGCAGGCCTGGCGGCTCGCACCGCAAGCCGCGGTCGGCAGGCCGCGCACCGGAGCTCAACCTCACTCCTGCCCGGGGCCTCCTCCTCCCTCCTCCTCCCTCCTCCTCCCTCCTCCTCCTCTCCTCCTCCTCCCTCCTCGCTCCTCCCTCCTCCTCCCTCCTCCTCTCTCCCCTCCTCCTCCCCTCCTCCTCCTCCTCCTCCTCCTCCTCCTCCTCCTCCTCCTCCCTCCTCCTCCTCCTCCTCCTCCCTCCTCCTTCCTCCTCCTCCTCCCTCCTCCTCTTCCTCCTCTCCTCCTCCTCCTCCTCCTCCTCCCTCCTCCCTCCTCACTCCTGCCCGGGGCCACTCACTCCTGCCCGGGGTGTTCGGAGCGGGTCTACGGTAGGTTCGCGTCGTGTCGACCGGCGGCGACCCCAGCGCGGGCGTTCAAGGTTGAACGCCGCCGGCGACCCGGAATCGATCGATGTTGAACGATTGGACGTTGCGGAAATGGCCGATCGTTCAAGGTTGAACGATCCCCGCGGTGTCAGGAACCAACGCCTGGGTCGACACGACACGAACCTGCCGTAGGCCTCCCAGATGGGGTTGGAACAGATGGGGTGTGAGGATCGCGCCGCTTCGCCGGTGCATCGGCGACGCGGCTCAATGTAGAGCCCGGTTTTCTCATAGGTGGCGACGTCGGTAATGCATCGGCGACGCCGGCCCCATCTGATCGGTGCAATCCTCCGACCCCATCTAATCGGACCCCATCTAGGAGTCCTCTGGCAAGAGAAGGCGACGCCAGCACCCCCAGAAGGGGCCACCTCCAGCGAGGAGGTGTCTCGGGACCCCCCCCCCCTCTCCTCTCAAGAGCGTCTGCACGCCACGGGTAATGGGTTCGTCGACGCTCTCGCGGGGGAGGCAACCCAGTTTTCATGGACCCGTGGCCCGCAGGACCAGGGACCTCCCGGCACGGACGTTCGGGATTGCACGGCGGCGCTGTCTAGGCGCAGAGCCGCCAGAGCTATGATAAACTCCATCAGCGTTGCGACCTGGCCCGCGGTTCGGCCGCCCGTGGCCCGTCGGGTTTCCGAAGGCCTCTTAGGGGCCTTGCGCAGGACCGAGCACTGTTTGGTTCGGGCCGAGCGTGACTGGCTGTGCTCTCTTTCTCTCTCTGCCATGCTGTGGTGCCTGCGGCACACGTGGCGGAGTCCAGCTGCACTTCGTGTGCGGCCGCGGCCTAAGACTTTATCAGGTCTGTTTGGATTCGGGGTGGTGAGGGCGGGTGGAACGGTGACGGTTGGGGGGAAGGACTGTCACGCGTCCTATAATTTGCATTTCTGACCCAAGTTTGGGCTGCATTTTTGTGTGGCGTGTGGTAAAATTGCCTCGGAGGACCCACGCCATCTTATTTCGGAGTGCGCGGCCCGCACCAAGAAGTGTCTTGAGAATTTCCCGAGAATTCAAAAAGGGGCTGCTCCCCAGCCACCAGGGTCCGCCCAGCACGTCTCTGGCCAGAGACCTGGGTAGTGTCAGGCGGGAGGCCGTCCTCCGAGGGCCGCCGCTTGGTGTCCTCGTTGGCTAATTCACTACTACCTCGTGGAAACCAGCGAACTCCAGCGAATTCCTCCTCCTCCTCCTCCTGCTCCTCCTGCTCCTCCTCCTGCTCTTCCTCCTCCTCCTGCTCTTCCTCCTCCTCCTCCTCCTCCTCCTCCTCCTCCGTAGTGCCCCAGTCTGAGCTCGCCTCGGGGTTGCCTTGGTTGGGGGACGTCGGCTGACCCCTTGGGAGTCGGGTGCAGTTTCCAAACCGCTTCCGGCCGTGGCCAGGGGGCCCCTGAAGGCCCAGACAGGGAGGAGGAGGAGGAGGAGGAGGAGGAGGAGGAGGAGGAGGAGGAGGCGGAGGAGGAGGAGGAGGAGGAGGAAGAGGAGAAGAGGGGACGTCGTGACGCCAAGCCCATCCTGGGCCCAGGATCCATGCATATCGGAGGCGTTGAATGAGGAGGTCATCGTTGGCCCTTGCCTGGCAGTCTCTCGCATCGCCGAAGGAGGGAATCTTCGGTGATTCTGTGCGGGGTTCTCACCTCGGGATGGTCTCCAGCGGCCGCGTTTCGTCGAGACCTTTCTGGGGGGTGCCCAACTCATCCCGAATCGGGGCTCAGTCATGCAAGCGGGGGTCAGTCAGAGCGCCGGATCTTGCAGGATCTTGCAGTGCCAGGGGTGCATTGACCCGGGCTTGGGTGCAGGATCCTGCAGTGTCCAGCAAGATATACCCAACAGCCTACAGCCGTCAGGCGTCGAAGAGGGGGCGTGAGGACCAGGGGGGGGCATCACTGCCACGAGACATGAAGCTCTCCCAATGTCATGCCCCCCCGCAGCCCCCCTCTCGTATTCTTGAGGTATTTTACTATCCTGGTGCCCTCCTTCGTCTGCGCACATTGGCTTGTGGCCATGATGTTCCAGCCCCGCTCTTCATGCCCCCCCCCTCTTCGGCGCACCCGTGAACATCCAGGAGGGTCAGAAGGTGGACAATCACAGACGACAGTTCTTGTTCGGTTTCAGCATGACTCGCTGTCGGAGTCGCCGCCGAGGGCTGCTCGTTTGGAACGGAGGCCGCCTCTTCTGTAGCGGCCTTTTTGTCAGTGTGGGCCAGCAGTTGCTGCGGGGTATCGCCTGGCTGTTTCCGCCCGCGTCTCGGGCGTGCCAAAACGCGCCCCCCCCCCCGGGCTGGCCAGGAGGGCGCAGATGCCGATCCTGGGCCCAGGATCGGCCCGGTCAAGATCGGTGTGGTGGTCAGCTACGGGGGCGGTCAAGAGGGGGGACAGGGCTGCGGGGCTGTGATATCTCCCCAGATTTCACGCACCCTTCCACGTCTTCCACCACATTGGCATCGCTCGGGCGTGTGCCTCTTTTTCTCGGCCAAGACCATCGGGGAGCATCCTGGATCCTCGCGGGGAGAATACACGTCCGAAATCAAATAGTGCACGGGAAATGGACGTCCGAGTGATGGCCATACACATCCCTTGCCACCCCCTCTGTCGTCGTTTTCTCATTCATTGGTTTGCCGATCGGCGCGGGCCCTCGCACTCCCCCCGTCCCCCCCCATGGAGTAGATCTTGGCTGTTTTGGGTGCTTATTTCGAGCAGGTGGAGTGCCTCCCCCATAGGACGCACTGCTGCAGGCAGTCGCACGGGGAAGAGGTCCGGAGCCAGAACCCCCCATTCCTCCCCTCCCCTTCCGCCCAATGTCGCAACGACGAACAAGAAAACGTGTACCTCTGGGCCGCGTACACGCCTCCGGCAATGCTTCGCGAAACCCCCTCCTTCGAAGCCGCCGACGGCCTGCGCCTCCCGGGGAGCGGGCGCCCGCAGGTCCTTCCTGTTCTCCCTCGGCTACGTGGTGCGCGCCGCCGCCCCCTTCCGCCCCCTCCAGGTGGCACCACCTCTCCGGCTGGGCTCGAGCCGAATGGTGTCCTGGCGATTTTCGGGGCCGTTCTCGCTCTGGTTCCGTTTCGCAGCAGAGGCGGAACGCAGACAGAGCGAAGGGATGTAGGAGCAGAACGAAAGCGGACAACATTGTTGGGCTCGAGCCCTGCTCTCGGGGTGGCAGCAGGGGGATGCGCCTGCGCCGCCCGAGCGGCGGGCCGGCCACGTCCAGGGGGGGGGCCTTCTGGGGGGCACACGGGGGCTTCGGTTCGGACATGACGAGGATAAAATCCGTTCACAGCGTCTGGAACGCTCTCAGCGCGTCCCGGAACCTGTCTGAGAAGGCCGCAGCGCCCGAGACATGCTCCAGATCCGCCGGATCTCAGATATCATCGATTCATCCTTAATTACCCGTTTTTTATTCTCGTCCTGGCTTCGTTTTCTTGGCCCCCATCCAGAGAGATCGTCAACGCGCCGGGTACTCGCCCAGGGGCACGGGCCACGTCCCCTCCGGTTCCAGTTGCGCCCGGTGGGCGGTGGGTGGCCGCCGTCATTCTCCTGCCCAAGGGAGGGGCAAGAAGAGTGAGGGGAGAAGGAAGAGTAGAGGAAGAGCTGGCCAACGAGGAAAGATGATGGGCAGGAGAAGGAGTGACGAGGGAGGAGCGGGAAGTAGAGGAGCATGAGACGGAGGACGAAAGAGGAGGAGGATAAAGACCAGGATCAACCCAACCTGCGTCATCGCTGTTTCAATACACTCGTCCGTCCCAGTCTCCTCCACATACGTCCCTCCAATATTTCATTTCGACAACAACAAGCGCCCTCCTTGAAAGACCAGCAACATATAGGTTTGCCATGGACTTGCTTTGCATCCGTGGCGCGCACGTAGGACTTCGAACACATATGATGATACAACTTATACAGTTCAACGATATCTCCAGCGAGATCTTCCTTTCGAAGAAGGACCTCTCAATCCGTGCAAGCGCTGCAACAGCTCACGGTTGTAGCCATGAACTTCGAGGAAGTGTCAAGCGACAGCTCCATTTTGACAAGGAGCCGCCTTCGACCCGCGCAGTGCTACATTAATTAAATTCCCAGATCTCTAGATGTAAAGAAGTCTCGAGCGAGAACGCTGTTTTGAAGAAAACCGTCCTCCATCTTTCTGACCGGCGCAAATTTCGGAAATGAATTCACGCGGCGCTAAGGCGGCCACTGTTTTGAAAGGAGCCGCCTTCCATCTTTGTACGCGCTTCAAGGTTTTCAGACGAATCCGCGCGGCGCTAAGGCGAGAGCTCCGCTTTGAAAAGGAACCGCCCTTCATCCTTGATATTTGATATTGCGGCAATGCTACGACGAATGCCTCAACTACCATCTCAGTTAAGGTCAATTCGGCTCGAGTGAGCTTGCTTCCCCAGCCGCAATGCCCCGGGGCTCGACCATACATGTGTTTACTTGAGCGCCGTGGTTGTATTGCAGTTCGCGTCCACGGTGAACGCCAGGGGGATTCACTAAGGCGTCGTCGCTTCCCTGGTTGCACTGTTGTTGATGCCATGGTCGTTTGTTCGTGTGTGTGTGTGTGTGGCACTGTTGTTTGACGCTGGCCTTCGTGTTCTTGGCCCGCAGCTTCTTCATCCTGGTTGCGTGGCGTACTGCTGCTCTCCATGCCTGAGCATCGGATGCCCCTAGTGGGTGCTGCGCTTCGGCACGGGTGCAGCTTTTAGCTGGTGCCCGTTCGGGGCTCCTGGCGGGCGGCGCTGTTTTGATGTGGTCCTGGGTACAAAGGAAGGCACGTCCGCATTGTTGATCCGTGGTGTACCAGTGCATGTTCGTCCCCGCTTGTATTGTTACTGGCGCTGCAGTTGAGGTGTTGGCGTTCACATGTGTTTGGCTGCTTCGCTCTCATCTCCGCTTCTCTCACGGATCGTGTTTTGGTGGTGGTATCATGTTGCTCGGCCTTCCTAACGTGGGGTGTATGTGACAATGTGGGCATGGTTCTGAATATTGTGGGTTTCGCGGATGTGTTCGTCTGCTTTCTCGTGGTGGTCGGTTTGATTTTTATCCTGCAGTGGGATGAGGCTGTCAGGCAAAGTGAAGTGGAAACAATTATACGACGAATGCGCGCGGCGTCAAGGCGTTTTGGAAAGGCACCCCTCCATCCCTGAAGCTGCTGATCTGTTTCAATATGAATATATAGGCAGCGCTAAGACGATATCTCTACTTTGCAAACGACCTCCCTACATTCTTCAAGCTGACTCTGCGCGGTTCTACAGAGAGAGCCACATTTCGAAAATAGATCGTCTTCAATCCTTATAACTGCGGCGCTTGTGTGCGAGCTCCGCCTTGAAAACGAGCCGCCCTCCATCCGTGATGTTGCTGCAACATTCCAAGACTGCGCGGCGCTACGGCTGGAGCTCTATGTTGCAAACGACCTCCCTACAGCCTTCAAATCCCTATTTTGGAAACGACCCCTCTCCATCCTTCAAGCCGTGGCAGATTTTCAGAACGTGCGCGCGCGGCGCCCAGGCGAGAACAACAGGTTTCAAGCCGGTTCCCCTCCATTATTGAAGTTGTTGTTTCAATTTCCAGGATCATGAGTGGTAATGAGGTCTCAAGCGAAATGCCCTTGGGGTGCGACAGGGAGGAGTTACAAGGGCTGGAGGAATGGGAGGAAGGACGAGGAGGAAGAGGAGGAGGAGGAATGATACCAGGAGGAGGAGGAGGAGGAGGAGGAGGAGGAGGAGGAGGAGGAGGAGGAGGAGGAGGAGGAGGATGGGAAGGAGGAGGATGAACGCGGCGGGCGACGAAGGGGGATGATGGGGATGAGAAGGACGATGAGGGAGAAGCAGCCGCACGAAGAACATGGAGGGAAAGGAGAGGAGGAGGCGGAGGAGAAGCGTGATTAGAATCAGCCTCAGCTCAGCGTGCGGCCGCGCTTGCGGCGCCTGGACGCGCTGGCTGGGCGCGCAGCGGCGAGACCAGACTTCCTGTGCTGACCAGGCAGGGCTGGCCGTGCGCCACCAGGGCGCACAGCGGCGGTGGCGCCACCTGGCGGGGCCGACGGCGCGGGCTTGGAGCGCCTCCTGTCGGTGGTTCAGAGACGGGTTCCTGAGGCACGGGGCCCTGAGGACGAAGTGCCTGGACCAGCGAACATTGGCGGCGCGCGCAAAGGGGGTAGGGGGAGGGGGAAGGCTTGAGGGGGGCTGCTTCTGAGAAGCCTTCCCCCTCCCCCTACCCCCCTTCTACGCGCCGCCAAGTACATCCACCCTTGGATCCCCTCCCATCCTCAGGCCCCCATCCCTCCGGACACCATCTTTGAACCACGGACGCTTGGGCTGGAGCTGCAAGTGGGGTGGCGGGCTGCGCCTGGCTGGCCGCGGGCTGCGCGCGAGGTCAGTGCGACGCCGTCTTCGCCCACGCGGCCGGCGCGCCCGTCTCCCAAAGGAGTTGGCCGCTGCTTGCTGCGAGCACCCTGCCGCCCTTGGGGGGTGGCGGGCGCCCGGCGTCGGTTGGACTTGTCGGCACCCATGTGAAGTGCGCGGGGCCGCCTTCGGTTCGGAGGACGAGTCCGCCAAGGAAGCGGGAGGAGGAGGAGAAGGAGGAGGAGGAGGAGGAGGAGGAGGAGGAGGAGGAAAGAGAGGAGGGGGAGGAAGGAGAGGAGGGGGAGGATGAGGAGGAGAGGAGGGGGAGGAGGGAGGAGGAGGGGGAGAGGAGGAGGAGAGGAGGAGGAGGAGGAGGAGGAGGAGGAGGAGGAGGAGGAGGAGGAGGAGGAGAAGGAGTGGAGGAGGAGGGGCAGGAAGGAGAGGAGGAGGAGCAGGAGGAGGAGGAGAAGGAAGGAGCGGAAGGAGGAGGGACCGCGAAGTCCGAAAGGTAAGGACGTTGAGATCGCATTGCCGCATGAGGGGAGGGGGGCGGCGAGGGATGGCAAGGCGCAGCGCACGAGTGGTAGGCGCGCAGGCAGCGCGGGGTGCAAGTGAGAGCAAGGCGCAGCCGAAGCGAGGGGAAAGCGGTCGGGGTCGGGCAACGCACGACGCGGCGCGCCACGCGACGCCTCCCTCTCGAGGTGAGGCACGGCCTGGCTACTCCGGGGGCGGGGGTCTTGTCAGAAGGTCGGCCCTCCTGAGCGCCGTCAGTTGTCCCGTCGCCGCGGGCCGATGTCTCTGCCAGGAGCGCCGCGTGTACGCAGCGTGCACCCGTGAGCGAGGGCGGGCAGAAAAGTGCTTTGCCTCGCACAGGCAGGGTCCATTTCGATCCGGTCGAGACGATTTGATATCGTATGTGGCTGGCTCGATTGATGCCATTCGGCCCGGACGATGCGTTCGCATGGCGTTGTGTGTAATCTTGGCGCAACCAATCCGATTCGATTCCGATTCCGTGCCGACACAGCTCGATCCGGTGCACGTCTTGGTTCGATCCGATGTCTTAAATCCTATGTTGGCTGATCCGGCCCAGGTGCTCGTGTACGCCGCCATAGGCATCGTGGGGGGTATGGCGTATGAGCCTTACTACGCGACCGACGAGGACCCGCTCGGAAAGGGGAGGGGGCGGGGCTAGAGGGGGCGCCAAGCGGGGCCGCAGGGCCCCCCTCGACATCCTCTTCCTCGTCCTCGTCTTCGTCGTCGTCATCCTCCTCCTCCTCCTCTTCCTCTTCCTCCTCCTCCTCCTCCTCCTCCTCCTCCCAGAATGGTTGCACACTCGCAAGGGCCCGCTCGCCCCCTGCAGCCATGGCGGCGATGCGCCCGCGGACCGAGGCCTTTTGCTGGGCTGCTCGGGACGGTGGCTCTTAACCCGTGCGCCGCGAACCGCAGCTCCAGGTTCGCAGACATCGTCGTCAAGTGCCCAGCGCAAGACACCGTCGTGTCGTGCGGCGCCCAGCGAAGTAGCAGCGGCGACTTGATCGAGGATGAGCTCACCATCGACCGTTTCAGATGCGACAGGTTTGACGACCACCGCGGGCCATTCGTTATTCCGTCCTGCGGTATCACAGTTCTCGCAAAAGGAAGCACCGACTCAGCAAACGCTCAGCGAAACGCATTTTACCCGTACCTGAGCAGTTGTGGGGACGAGTTGGTTGCATATTCGTCCGGCAACAACTTGTTGCAAGACGAGTATGCAACCAACTCGTTATTGCTACAAGAGCGTGCATCTGTTTCATAGGATTCAGAATTTTCTTCCGGGGAATAGTACTACATGTCAAACCAAGTCTTACGTCAAGGCTGCGCAGTGCACCGTCACCCTGCTTCAGCAAACATTCGGAATCTTTGACATATGACATGCCACTCCACTGACACATACAGATGTGGATTTGAATCAGAAGATGACACGGTTGCAGGCGAGCACGGCATTGGCAACCCATCTTCTTCACCGGATATTCGACCTATTTTTGACGCGTGGGTAGGGACTGACAGCAGCAAATACATATTCTCGTAATTTGGCTTCGTCTGTCGGCGAGCGAGGAGAGAGTCACATTGACCACACCATCGCGCCAAAAACGGTTATGCCCGCGGTCGAGAGCTGCACCATTTACGCCCGCACGTCCCGACGGTTACACTTTCATCAAGCAGTCGTTGCTCGCGACCCTCGTCCAGTCGTTCTCACAGCTCGACTGCAAGCCACAACGGCACCTCTTCCGTCTTGACATCCCGGGCCCAAAAGAGACGCCATGTACGAATGCGTTCAGCTTGGGCATCTGAGGGGGAGTATGTTCAATGTTTCACATGATCAGGCGGAGGTGGTGGAGAAAGAGTTTTAGCAGCTAAAGCGGGATGGCAAGGTGGATGGCATGAATCGAGTCTTCACGCGCGTTCTAAATCATGTCGCCGTCGGGACGTTCAGGGTCTCCCCGTTGTTTACTGTGGAGCACACTGGCCGCGCTGAGCGACCTGGCGCACTACAATAGCAAAGACGTGGGTGCAGAGAGCAATTCGGCAGAGCGGTAGACAGCTACGCGTTCGAGACGCACGCGAATGCCATCGCGCAACTCAATCGCCGGGTGGACGCAGCTCGAGAACATCATGAGTGAGTGCGACCCGTAGGACAGAAGAGCTACGCACGGCACGAGCACAGCGCAAGTGCCACCTAGTGCACACGCTGAGCAGCATGACAGCGGGCAAAGGTCGAGGACCCCGCAAGCATCAGTTTTGAGCGCTTCCCCGGTCTCAGGCATGCGCCGCGGCTTGGTCTTATTGCGCGCAGATGCCAGCAGCTCGGGAAGGATGTCCGACGACCGTTTCTTTGCGCAGCGATGTCCAGTTTGAAACCGACCGGTTGAATCGACAACCTCGCCTTCAAGCGCCGGTTCTGGCGAGCGCGACCCGAATGGTCTCGCCCCCCCCCCTCTCCCTGGGCTGCGTAGGTCGCGGTTTCACCCTGCTCGGGCGAACGACGACCCCCGCCGCGAAGGCGCAGCAGGAGTGGGGCAGAGACGACGGAGATCCACTGCGCGGGGAGGGGCCTGCTCAAGAAGCTACACTGGGCGCGCGGGCGCTGGGGGCGCGCCCCGGTCGCGCGGCACTCCGCGCAAGCGGCTCGTCTACCTATGGGCGCTAAGCTAGACTGCGATGGCGAACGAGCGCCTTTAGAACAGCGCACGTTCGGTCGCAGCTACAACGCAGGGGCCCTCCTTCGGAGGCCGAGCCCCGCGGGGCCACAGACTGGGCGCGCGGACGCCCCCAGAACCGAGCGCCTGGAAACAGCCGCGCTTTCGCAGGCCATCGGCGGCGATCGCGCGCAGAGAGGAGGGGCCCTTCATTTACCACGTTGCCGCGACGCTTCCAATGGTTGTTTTTTCTTAAGCGCGCAGCGGCGCTGGCTGGCGCGGGCAACATTAACTGCGCGAAGGACCCAGAGTTCATCGACAGTCGCATCGCAGAAGGAGCTTCCCAGCTAGATGAAAAATATGGACGCGTTCGGCCCCGACCTGGCAGCAGAGTCGCTCCAGGAGACGCGGGGGCAGCATTGCTGTTCGCGCGCGCCTCGCCGATCAATCCTGCGCGAATGGCCGGCGCGTCGCAGTCGAGCCCGAACCCCCGCGGGGCACGGGGGGCAAGGACGTGCGCCAGGTCGCTCTCGCAGAGTCCGTTGGCGATCTCGCCGGCAGAGCATTTGCGATCGGGGCGGGGGCGGTGGAGGTGCAACTGGCAGCAGGATCAACAGAACAAAGAAAACAGCTTTCAGCGCGGGCGCGGCGGAGGCGGGAGCGGCTCAGAGCGACGGCGCGCAGGAGGGACTCGTTCTCATCGCAGACTTCTGCGCGCGGAAGAAGTGCGAGGCATGGCAGGAGTTTGCAGACGTCGCGCGCGCTATCCAGGAGGAAGGTGCCCTTGACTTTTTTTCACTTGCGCCAGGGATGGTAACCTCGTCGCGGTGGCAGGGCTGATTTGCTTTTGATTTCCTTGGTTTGTTGGTTTTCACTTTGCGCATTGGGCGCGCGCCTGGCGCCCAGAAGGCGCGCTGGGGGCGACCAGAACAACGCGCGGAAGAGCGCCCGGGGGCGCGCTGGGGCGAGCGCCCGGGCGAGCTTAGAAGAGTGCCGAGTACAGCGCCCAGGAAAGCGCCATCAAGAGTACCCAGTATTCGGCCCAGACGCGAATCTGGAAGAGCGCCCGAAAGTGCGTCCGGAAGTGCGCCCAGAAGCGACCGATTTTGCCACCGATGTCTCGCCCGACTTCGCGTCTGATTTTTTGTGCGTCGATTCAATGCTAAAATAAATCAGACGCAAAGCGGACACAATTCGGACGCAAATCGGGCGCGCAATCGGGGGCACAATCGGGGGCACAATCGGACGCTAATGGCGTCGACCATTTCTGGGCGGGTGAGGCAGCGCGTCGCGGCGCATCATGGCGAGGTCTGGTAGGGCGTGCGTTGCGGACCCGTGCGCGCAATGCAGCGTTGGAGTTTTAGCGTTGTGGCGAACGACAAACTGCGATATCGCGTTGTGTTCAGGTCGGGCCAAAGCGACAGAAAAATCAGGTCGCCGCTTTTGCCGCCGTTTTTTCATGTGAGAGATAGGCAAACGGCGGCGCGCGCTGCGCATTGGTTTCTACACCATGGGCAACTTCTGGTACTCCAGCGCCCCATGGAGGCTCACGGTGGAGACGGCGCGCTCTCTGGGATGGAGGATAGCGCCGAGTCTAACGGACCCTCGCTGGGCTCGGAGGGGTCATCGCAGGCAAGCGCGCAGCCATCTAATGGGGCACTTGCGAATGGAGTTTGGGGCGCGCCAAGGCGCCTCCAAACTGCGATGTGCTCGGGAGGTTTGGAATTGGGTCACCGCGCTTGGAGCTCGGTCTGCGCCGGCGAAGGTGGCGCCTGGAGCTCTCGAAGGCCAACGAATTGCACGGGCAGCTTTGGGAAAGTATGCCCAGCGCCATGGCTGTAGATGGAGACGCTCTTGTCGAAAGTACAGTACCCCGCGCATAACGCCCCTGGGCGCCTCATTTGCAGCGGGGCAGCGATTCGCTTGCCCGCGCAGAGTCAGGCGAGGATTTTCCCTCGGGGCAGAGCGGCGCCCCGGTCGCGTGCTTTGTGATCCTGAGCTGAGCGAGCATTTCCAGCGCCTCGACAACGGGGAGATTGCTGTGATTCTTTACGTCGACCGGCCACCCGAGCGGCACAGCAGACGGACCTCGAGGGCGAGGGCAGCGTTTTCATCTGCCCAGAGTTCTTCGAGGACGGCACAAGATGTCGATGAAAATGGCTTTCCCACACTAGCAGCTCATCGCGCGCATGGCGTCTACTCAGGGGTGGTACTCACGGGCGTCTTCGCACTGCGCGGATACGCGCGCTAATTCATGAGCCCATGATATGTGGCAGTGCATTGCTAGAACCATCGTCGCTAAACAAAAGATGCCAGACGCATTCTGGTTTGACGAGTTTGCCCGCGTGGAAAAGGTTGCTTCGAGGAAAGGGTCGCTGTGCACAAAAACACTGAGGGTCATGCGCCTCGGAGAGTTCAGAACGGCCGCCGAGTTCGCCGAGCATGTATTCTGGCATCGAGCCGAGTACTTTACATAGTCATTTTACGTGAGAGTACATGGCGGACGCCGCAACCACAGGGGGGCTTGCCCGACCGCGAGGCAAGAGCTCCCCCCCGCGCACCAGGCAGACCCACGAAGCTGAGCAAGCCCAACCGGGAGGAGGACGAGGACACTGAGGAGGAGGAGGACAGTGGCGACAATAATGGCCACATGGGCGACATTCTCATGCGGCTCGAAGCTCTCGCACGGGCCCCCGGGCGCGCGGCCTTCGGCGCGGCGGCGGGAAGTCTGTCGCGACCGAAGCCATCGGCAACTCGTTCCAGGATTCTTCGAAGCTGGTGAAAGAGGACAAAGACAGACCCGGCAGGGCCCGCGCCCCCAGCCCTGTTCGCACTTCTGACCGCGATCGATGTTTTCGGTTACAAGGATATTTCGCCAAGGATGCAGATGGTCTTACACGGCTGCAACAGGTTGTCCTTCAGGATGAAGAAGAGCGAGCCCGTCGCGATGTCCGCTTAGGCGAAGGAGCTAGCGGCTCTTCCG